TATATATATATATATATATATATATATATATATATATATATATATATTGTATATATATAACAAGTACCCCTTCCCGGTGACTGAAAGTTTTTGTTTAACTCGAAACAAGATTTTTTTTTTTTAAGGGGGGAGGGGAAACTTGTACAACTAGACAATACACGACAATAAGGGATGAGACAATGCTGAGAACGACGTGCTGTGAGTATTAAGATGCTAGTTTTTCTTTTCTCAGGAGTTCGAAGTTTTGGAGGCCTGTAACTTTTTAACGGGTGGTTTTAGGAGAATTTTGAGGGACTAAAATTGTAGCTTAGGAAATTTCCTAAAAAAAACGTCTTAGTACTTCATTTCTATCTTCAATTTTTTATATTAGGAGATATAGGAACTTGAATAGTGTTGACTTAATAGGAAATAAAAAGGGTGATAACTCCTAAAATATTGATTTTAGGAGAAATTTATAAGAGACTAAAATTGTAGCTCGGTAAATTTCCTAACCTGCACCCCCTCCAACTTTTATGAATCCCTCATATTCTTCCCAAGATAACTAATAATATTCTTCGATAAACTCCCCATTGAAAATCCTCCTTTTTATCCTTATTAACTTTCTTATTAAAGTTTTCCAATAACCTTTTATCCCGAGAAAAGAAAAACTAGCTCATCATTTCTACTTTTATTTGGCAACAGATTAAAACTAATAAAATATAAACAGGAATTTTGCAGGCACTCGTTAAAAAATAAACAAAATAAATATTTATGTTCTTATAAATATATTATTTAAATTTAAATGTTTTTTTTTATGTCCTACTTTGATTTTCTAGTGATATGTGACCGGAAGTAAAGGCGGGTGAAGCTAATATATAAATATATATATGTATAGTACTTATTATATATATATATTTAAACAATTAGATAAATTTATTTTAAAAGTTAAAGTAATTTTTTTTTGCAACCGAGTTAAAATTTTTTTTATAAAAAAAATTGAGGACCAGCCTCAAAATAAATTTTATTTTTTTAATAACCAATTTTTTTTTGCTCACAAAAAATGAGTCAAAAATAATATATAGTGTGTGTGTGTATATTTATATACATATATATTTTTTTTATTCTATATTTATTTATTTTTTTTTTCTAAATATTTATTATGAGTGGATTGAGAATTTATTTTTTATTAAAAAGACGATAACTCCTAAAATATTGATTTTAGGAGAAAATTATAAGAATCCAAATTTGTACCTCAGAAAATTTCCTATCCCAAACACACCCATGCTTTAGGTTTATCTTCAATATTTTAGGAGATATAGTCACTTAAAGTTGACTTCCTAAAAAAACAAAAATTAATATTAAGAAGTTATATAAATGGCTATAACTCCTAAAATATTGATTTTAGGAGAAAATCATAAGAATCCAAATTTGTAGCTCAGAAAATTTCCTATCCCAAACACACCCATGCTTTAGGTTTATTTTTAATATTTTAGGAGATATAGTCACTTAAAGTTGACTTTCTAAAAAAATAAAAAATCATTATTTAGGAACTATAAAAGTGGCTATAACTCCTAAACTATTGATTTTAGGAGAAAATCATAAGAGAACAAATTTGTAGCTTATAAAATTTCCTATAAAAAATTTTTATGTTTTATTAATGTATCTCGCATAGATCTCGAGATATTAAATACTCTCAATCCACTCTCTTAAAAATAAATAACCTAGCTCAATAAAAATGATGAAATGAACCTAATCTACATAAATTACTCGTAACATTACTTGTTTTAGGTGATATGTACCAAATGGAAGATTCAAGTTACGCTTTTAATTATCCTAACCGATCAATTAAAAGCGATTAATTCTTTAGAACATGATATCATTGTCACTTAATTAATTAATCATTATATTAGGCATTATTTATTTAAAAAATATTTTTATATTTATCGTTTTTTTTTCCTAGCGCCTAAGCTAACCTAACCTAAGGTGTGAACCTTCACGTCAAATCCTACCTCCATCTTGACCATCATCGTCAATAATCATCAGCCGTGATGATTTTTTAATTAATCTTTTGCTAAGTCATTCGACCTTAATTCAATATTCATTTTATTTTTATTAATTTTCTGTCTCTAATTTATTTTTTAGGTCCTAGGACCTAAATGATGCCAGTGATCATGATCAGCGCGAGCATTAGGAGCAATTTTGAGCGCAATTCTTGCGCTCCTGCTGATACGCTCGACGCTATTGCGCCGTTGCACGCCTCCGGGGATGGATCTGAAAAATTAATAGATTTTTTCGGTTAAATTTAGGTCCTAAGAAAAATTTTAGGAACAATATTTAATAAAGACACTAAAAAAATAGCCATAACTCCTAAAATATTGACTTTAGGAGAAAATTAGGAAGCTCAAATTGTAGCTTAGGAATTTTCCTAAAAAAAAATGTCTTAGTACTTCATTCCTATCTTCAATATTTTAGGAGATATAGGTTTTATAGTGGTGAATTTTGAGAAAATAAGGAATTATTATTTAGGAGGTATAAAAGTAGCTGTAGCTCCTAAAATATTGATTTTAGGAGAAAATTATGGGGCTAATGTTGTAGCTTAGGAAAATTCCTAAAAAAAGTGTCTCAGTACTTCATTTCTATCTTCAATATTTTAGGAGATATAGGAACTTAACTAGGGATTAGGAAGTAGAAAATGGAAAATTGTAATTTAGGAGCTATAAAAATGGCTGTAACTCCTAAAATATTGATTTTAGGAGAAAATTCTAAGAAACCAAATTTGTAGCTTAGAAAATTTCCTACAAAAAATCTCTCAGTACTTCATTTCGATCTTTAATATTTTAGGAGATATAGTCACTTATATGTTGACTTCTTAAAAAAAATAAAAATTAATATTTAGGAGTTATATAAATGGCTATAACTCCTAAAATATTGAATTTAGGAAAAAATCATAAGAGAACAAATTTGTAGCTTATAAAATTTCCTACAAAAAATCTTTCATATATTTTTCCAAATTTTCAATATTTAACCTAGAAATCTCAATTAAAGTTTCAAGGTCACAAATAAGGTCTTTCTTACCTGGTATTCCTTCCAATCTCGGCAAAAATTCATTCCAAAAAGCGCAAGCCGGCAATCGGGGCCCGGTTCCCAGTCCCGATTTTTCAGCATTGAAAATATAGTACTGAGGTTCGTCGCGAGTGTAAGCTGGCCAATTGTCGCCCTCTGTCGGTTTTCTGCAAAACGAAAAAAAATAATTAAATCGGAATTTAGTCCGAAGTTTATCATCGTGTTTGAAGGGTAGCTTAACCGGAATATAGAAAAGAGAAAACTTTTTTTTTTTAGAAATAAAAGAGTGGAAAGAACATATGTGGCTAGGGTTTATATTACCCACTTGGGAATTATTCTGAAGATAAATACTGTCGTTTAGCTAGCAGATATTTTTATATTTTTTTCATACGATACAAAGTTATAATTTATTTATTTTTGCTAATGTTTTTTTTTACCTCCATTTATTAGCTAATAAATCTTTTCCCTTTATTTTGATTCCACTGCTTCTTTTTTAATCTCAGTAACATGCTCAAGCCCCCGAGAATCGTGCTTACAATCTATTTTATCTATTTTATCTAAGCTCATCAATTTTCCTTGAATTTTTAAGGTAAAAAAAAATTTGCTATTTTTTTAAATATGACGTGCTAGTGACCTAGAATTTTTTATCCCGAGTAAAATGAACCCAAACATGCTATATTTATTCCCAAGCTTTCATTAAAGAAATCGCGTTAATAATTTACTGAATGATCTATAGATCATTGACCTGCGGCCAATTGACTCGTGCGACGGCTTATTTTCTTCAGAATTTTAAGGAGAAGAAAACTATCCAAAGATTTTTTTATTAAAACAATTCCTAGTGCCGATTAATCACTGATTAATCATTAACCTAGAATAAAGCGACCTAGAATTCTCCATCCTGAGTAAAATGAATACCTACAACCCTTACCAATTATTCTTCTTTCTTTAGAAAAATCGCATTAATAATTTATCAAATGATCTATAGATCATTAATCAAAAATCTACCTGCGGCCAATAACTTCGTGCGACACGTCATTTTTTTCAGAATTTTCTCGACATTAAAAAAATCTGCCTGCCTTTCTTCTTCCTCCCCACCCAAGCTCGATTAATCACTTGATTAACCATGAAAAGAAAAAAATAACTGACCTTCTAAAAATCATTGACCTCGCGACCTAGATCTTGAAATCCCCAGCAAAACAAGTATCCACAGTCTATAATTAAAATTATTTTTTAAGCAAAAAACACACATTAATATTTAATTAATCAATTAATCGATTAATTAATCAATTAATCAACCTACTTTGAATATATCCATGTGGGTATTCATTTTACGCGTCTCGGCACCAGCTGTCTTAATTACGCAATTATATTGTCAAATTAAGTCTTTATAAGCCCTCAGATGTAAAAAACATCAGTAGTGTTTAAAATGCGTGTCCTTATAGTCTTAATTTCCTGCGCTATTGCTGCCGCGGTGCCCAGCTGTCCTAACATTCGCGTGATCATCGATACGAACTTGGTAAGGAAAAAATAATTTTTAAAAATTTAAAAAAAAAATTAATAAAATTTTTTTCAGGCTTCTGGAACTTGGTACGAGTTCCAACGCAGTGATAATAATTTGATTTCTAATGGAACATGTACGACTGTAATTTTTCATCAACCTGACGAGTGCATTTGCAGAATGGTTTACTGTGATGATCAAATGGCCGAAAAAACATTACTTGCAGAAATTGTTCCGAAGCGTAGCGATGTTTTTTATTATCGATTTCCTTTAATTGACATTTTTGACAAAGAGTATTATATTATTGACACGGATTACATCAATTATACGGTTCTGATGAGTTGTGATCAAAATTATGGGTAATTATGACGATTATTAAAAATTTTGAAATTTTTTCAAAATTTTGAAAATTGAAAAATTTTTGGAAATTTTGAAAATATAGGATTCCAAAATTTGTGGTGGTAACCCGAAATCCGTACCCAGATGACGAAACTATCAAGAAAATACTTCAATCATTCCCAAAAAGACGACTCAACACTCCAAACTTGGTGGCGATCAATAACGAAGATTGTGGAAAATTTTGAAAAAAAAAAAATTTTTGAAAATAATTATATCCACGACCTAGGCCTTGAAATTCCGAGTAAAATGACCCCCCACAACCCTGGTTGGTTATAAATATTAATGCGACTAAATCGCGTTAATAACTTGTTAAATGATCTATAGATCATTAATCAAAATTGACCTGCGGCCGATTAGGTCGTGCGACGGGTCATTTTACTCGGAATTTTGTCACCTTTTAAGATATATAATTTTTTTTCTAAAATTATTGTAATGTCATGAAAATCCAGGCATTAATCTGATGACAACTGGATAAATAATCAGACAATATTTGTATGAAAATAAAATTTTTTAAAGTATTTACTCTTTTTTTGTTCATTTAATCTTGCAGTTGGGCAAACATTTGAGGATCCTAAAATATTTTTAGTTGAAATAAAAATATTTACATATTTATTTAAAAAGTTTAATTTGAAAAAATAATATTGAATGTTTAAAAATAATTTTTTTGTAGAATATTGATGGTACTGCGACCTAGAGTTTAAAATTCCGAGTAAAATGAATACCGAAAACCTGTCCTAATTAATTTGCCTTCCTACCAAAAATCGCATTAATAATTTATCAAATGATCTATAGATCATTAATCAAAATTGACCTACGGCCGATCGGGTCGTGCGAGGGCTCATTTTACGCGTAATTTTACATACAATTTAAAAATCTAATTAATTAGATTTTTTTCAAAAATTATTTTAATGCCCTCTAATTAATCATTAATCATTTTTCTCAAAAAATTTTCATTTTTTTACAGTTTATCGATTAAAATTAAATATTAAAAGTTTCGTAAGATGATATTTTGAGAACCAGGGTCCCACAATGTTTGCAATGACGGTCATTAACCGCAATAATCGTTAAATATTGAGTTAAAAATTTCTGAAATGTTTTACGATTGATAAAACCAGTTTTTTTTGCCTCAAATATTTGCCGATATTTCAATATAAATTAATGAGAAATTGATGACTAAGTCAGTTTAAAAATCAATCATGTTGCGTGTATTAATCTTCAGTATTCTCGTCTCAACCCCAGTTATTTTGGGCCAACAACGCGGACGTTGTCCTAATATCCCTGGACTACCTAGAGATATTTATAGAGTACGTATTAATTTGCAATTTATTCAAAATTACATTTTTTACATCGTAGCGATCTAGAACTCTTTATCCCAAGTAAAATGAACCCAAACACTCCATAATTATTCCCAAGCTTTCATTAAAAAAATCGCGTTAATAATTCCTTAAATGATCTATAGATCATTAATCAAAATCGACCTGCGGCCAATTAAGTCAAGCGACAGCTCATTTTTCTCGGCCTTCAATGGACATTAATAGTATCCAATTAATTTTTCATAAAAATAATTCCTTGATCCATTAATCGGGTCATTAATCATTAATGAAAAAAAAATTTTGTTATTTTTAAAAATCTTTGGTACTGCGACCTAGAACTCTTTATCCCAAGTAAAATGAACCCAAACACTCTGTATTTATTCCCAAGCTTTCATTAAAAAAATCGCGTTAATAATTTCTTAAATGATCTATAGATCATTAATCAAAATTGACCTGCGGCCAATCGCATCGTGCGACGGCTCATTTTTTTCAGAATTTCATCCACATTACAAATATCTAATTAATTTTGCTCTAAAATTAAATTAATCACCAATTCCAGGCGCCTGGAATCTGGTACTTGCACAGTAAAAGTACCAACGACTACGATGACAAAATGAAATGCGTGCGTATTGACTGGAGCCAACCTAAGGGATTAAACTTTACATTGAGCATTAACGGCATTTCGACGATGTAATTAAAAATTAATCGAAATAATTATTATTATTTATTAACCAATAATGGTATAATTGTTAGAACCAACGCTCCCACGTCAATTGTCATAGAAGGTAGGGACGGCAGTCCGACATTTAGAAATCACGTGCCTGTTTTAGGAGAAGTTGACGTCGATTATTATATCCTCGGTCATAATTACGCCAAATGGGCCATTTTGTATTATTGCAATGAAAAATACAACTCCCAGTAAGTTTTTTATTTTTAAAGTTATTTTATTAATAAACAGGTAATTTATTTTCTGTGAATTTTCAGCATTGAGCAAGCTTTGGTATTAACGAGACAAAAATTCCCGGATCAAAGAGGACTTAATCAATTTATAGATGAATCCTATAATTATTGGGGTCTACGGAAGCCACAATTCAGCCGAATTGTCCAAAATTGTCGGAATTAATTTCTAAAAAATAATTATCAATTTTTAATTCAATAAAAAAATTATAAACTTTAAAAAAGTTGATCATTTTTTAAATCCGAGGTCCTAGCGACCTAGAACACGCCAGCCCGAGTAAAAAGAACCCAAACACTCTATACTTATTCCGAAGCTTTCATTAAAAAAATCGCGTTAATAATTTCTTAAATGATCTATAGATCATTGACCTGCGGCCAATTGACTCGTGCGATAGCTTATTTTCTTCAGAATTTTAAAGAGAAGAAAACTATCCAAAGATTTTTTTGTTAAAATAATTCCTAGTGCCGATTAATCACCGATTAATCATTAACCAAAAAATAAATTTTTCTATTTTTTAAAACTAAAGTCTTAGCGACCTAGAATTCTCCTGGCCGAGTAAAATGAACCCAAACACTCTATACTTATTCCAAGGGTTCGTTAAAAAAATCGCGTTAATAATTTGTTAAATGATCTATAGATCATTAATCAAAATTGACCTACGGCAAATTAAGTCGTGAGACAGCTTATTTTTTTCGGGCTTCAATGAACATTTATAGTATCCGATTAATTTTTCATAAAAATAATTCCTTGGTCCATTAATCGGGTCATTAATCATTAATAAAAAAAAAGTTTTATTTTGTAAAATCTTTGATGCTGCGACCTAGATCATGAAATCCCGAGTAAAAAGAACCCAAACACTCTATATCAATTCCCAAGCGTTCATTAAAAAAATCACGTTAATAATTTCTTAAATGATCTATAGATCATTAATCAAAAATCGACCTGCGGCCGATCTAGTCGTGCGACGGCTCATTTTACTCGGGATTACATCAAAGTTACAAATATCTAGTATTTTTTAACGTAAGGCAACTTTAACTTGGAGATAATTTAAATAAGAAAATCAAAAAAATAAAATTTTATGGATAGTATTTAAATTTTTTGAGAATACTCCATAACAAATAGAGGGAAAACAACCGACTCAGCAAACTCTGTTGTCAAGAAAAAAAAGCTAGAGTTTTATTTTTATTAAACTTCTTTTTTTTTTCTCGAGCGATCGAAGGAACGTGCAATTGCTACACTTGTATACACGTTCTAGTAAGACATCACTGAGGAGTCACGTAGTCTTAAGTCAGGTGTCTTTTAGTAGTTTTTATTGATTTTACGTGAGTGAAAAGTTCTTCCAAAATTCACTTGAAAATTTTTGCGTGTCAATGGTCGTTGACATCTCAAATAAATATTTTACAAAAAAATATTTTATAAAAGTAAATTTTTTTGAAATTTGATTTTTTAGCGACCTAAAATTTTCCATCCCGAGTAAAATGACCCCCCACACTATATATCACGTCCGAAGCTTTCATTAAAAAAATCGCATTAATAATTTATCAAATGATCTATAGATCATTAATCAAAAATCGACCTGCGGCCAATCAGGTCGTGCGACGGCTCATTTTTTTCAGAATTTCAAGGAGAATAAAAGTGGCCTATTATTTTTACTCTAAGATCATTAGTTGGCTCAAAAATCGTGGATTAATAAAAAAAAATGTATTTTTATGAATAATGAAAGCTCTTGCTGTTATAAAAGAAAGACGTTAACCCTCAGTTAGATATCGAGTAAATATAAACTCTTAATACTCGAGTCGAGGGGCTGCTTTATCTTTAAAGTAACGTGTCTTCCCCTATAACTTATAACCATACATATTTTTATACCTGGTTATATCTCTTTAAAGATCCTCTTATTTTTATCGCTAAAACCCAATACAGTTCTTGCTTTTACGTTAAATTAAAACAACTTTTAAAGGTTTTTGTTCTTTACTCACCCTGTGAAGGCGAAGTTTGAGAATGCGGATATTATTTTCATGGACAGTTCACGCTCTTTATCGGTGTATTTAAGGGAGGTGTTTAAGGGGTGTCCAAAAACATACTCGACTTCGTCGCCGTGGACTACGCCCATCCATTCCCCCCATAAATTCGTACTTGATCTCTGAAAAATAAAAATTTTTTTTTAAGCAACGGAGGTAATTTTCGTTATTTTCTCGGTAAATATAAATTATTTTTTTAAAATAAGCTCATTACGTTTAAGTACGCTCCAAGAGCTTTCATTTGAGTACCCACATGATTTTTCCAAAATCTGGTAATTTTTCCAAAATCTAGTAATTTTTCAAAAATCTAGTAATTTTTCAAAATCTATTAATTTTTAAAAATCTAGTAACTTTTCAAAAATATAGTAATTTTTTAAAAATCTAGTAATTTTTTAAAAATCTAGTAATTTTTTAAAATCTAGTAACTTTTCCAAAATCTAGTAATTTTTCAAAAATCTAGTAATTTTTCCAAAAATGCATGTGGGTACTCAAATGAAAGCTCTTGAAGAGTAGTTCACATCTCAGAGGTAGTTTTTAAATGACAATAATAATAATAATAATAATTACAAGTGAAATTAATGAGGAAAGTTGACGTGGCCTTTATGCTCTAATGAACGCACTATTGAACAATGGTCAACTCATAGTCCTGGTGACTTGCTCGCATGTTAGTTTGCAAGAGGCGGGGGGGGGGGGGAGGAGGGGTCGCTATTGAAGTTTGTATTCAAATGCGGGCACAAAACCCAAACTTTAAATGAATGCTTTTATTTGACCACTAAATTACCGGATTGTATTATTTTATTATCCTTCCAAGAGGTAATTTAATATTTCATATAAATACTGAATTTTAATTGCGGGATTAATTAAAATAATAATTAACCCACTTTTTTTTATTAGATTTTAAATATACATTTGATATTATTCGGGATTTTTTTGGGGGTTTTATCGGTGGGTATATAAAAATGTATGGGCTGTTTTACTCAGAATTTAATGGGCTATACCCTTCAGGCATTTAAAAAAAATTTTCTACAGTAGATTTCTAAACAAAATCCAATGTTTTATAAGAACAGTTATCTAAGAAAACTTCCTGTTAAGAACTATCGACAAAAAAAGTAAGTATATGGATACGAACGCATGAATAACTGAAGAATTGCGGTAACTCCGGGGCTTTTTAAAGAATTTCAATTTCCTCATTTCGTTCCGTCTCGGGCGAAAAAAAAAAAAAAAAGTTATTTCTTTGCGTTTAACCGAACGGATTTAATATTCTGCATCAAGTTAGTTTTTTTTTCTAACCTCCATGCTTCCTTTCATTTTGTTAAACTCGAATAATAATTATATTTACTCTTATGTATGTTAGTGAAATTCTTCTCGGATGCCAACTTTTTAATGAAAATGTTCGTCTGTTATTGTTATTCTTTATATTTTGGTTACATGTCTGTTTACTTTTTATGAAAGCTTATTTTTTGTACACTTTAAGTTTTTACCGAGTTTAAATAATTATTATTATCACCACTTTTCCCCTTTTTTATCGTAAAATTACGAGAAACAATAGTCAGAAAAGTTATTCTAGTGAATAATTAGGATTTTTTTAGGGATGTAAATTTTTTTTACGATCGTGAGCGTACTGAGCTTGTAGAGTGTTTAAATACGAGTATAAAATGATGTATAATTTTTTATGTTTTTGAGTATAATTGTCCAAAAAAATCACATTTTTATACAAAAAACTACAAATTTTTACTTTTTGTGAGTTTTTATTTTTTAAAATGGGATTTTTTCAAGTAAAGATTCATTTTTTGAATTTGCATTTAAATTTGCATAATTTCACGGAAAGAACAAGACGACACTGGATACCATCTCAGATTATACTCAGTGACATCTGAGGCGAAAAAAAATTTCAGATGGTAGCTAGTATAATCCAGATTATACTGGATAATATTTGGATTATACTCATTGTAATCTGGATTACGCTCATTGTTATCTGGATTATACTAGCTACTATCTGAAAATTTTTTTCACTCTGTATAATCTGGGATTATATCCAGTATAATCTTGTTTTTTCCTTGTTCGTGATTTTTTCGGTTATCTATTCCAAAATAAATTTTCACTTTGAACCGTGAATTTGCCAGTTTTTATTGACCTTCTTTTAGATAAAACGCCCCAAGCGAGTGAGTAATTAGAGAACTAATTCATCAAGTGTACACTATACCGTGTTTTAAAAGGGCTATGACAAGGCGAGGTGACTTGCAAGCGAGTATATATGTTGCGGGTAGGTAATATAGGGCTTAAATATAAAGAGAGCTACCGAGGATGCCATTACTCATACACGTCAAGTTGAATCTTGTAAGAGCGCGACCAAATCGCGGATTTTCTTACCGGTTTAAAGTCCTTCCGCATTAAAGCTCAGTCGAGTTATCTCGCTCTTCATTTATCATCCGTCCAAAACTGATTCACTTATATTGTGAAATATTCTCCTTTATTCATTATTAATCTTATTATGTGGGATAATAAATTTATTTTAAAGTAAATAACCGAAAAAATCACGAAATTATGCAAATTTTTGGAATTTTTCAGTTTCAATCGGGATTTTTTGGGGTTTTTATTAGTGAAAATAGAAAATCCTATTTAAAATTTTAAAAACTCCAAAAATCGGGATTGTAATGAGTTTTTTTGATAATTAGTGATTTTTTTGTATTAAAATGTGATTTATCTCCATTATAATTATAAATTTTTATAATTATTGTTCTAAAGTTAGTTAAAGAACCACTAACTTAAATGCAAGCTATTAAAGGGTATAATAAATGATTTAATCTCTCGGGAACTGCTTTATCTGGTTGCTACAGATGTTAACTATATGTATATCCTGAATATATAGGGCCGAGAGTTAGGAAACTAGAAGTTAACGTGAGTTCCTATATCTCCTAAAATATTGAAGATATAAATAAAGTACTAAGAGATTTTTTGTAGGAAATTTTCTAAGCTACAATTTTGGTCTCCTATGATTTTCTCCTAAAATCAATATTTAAAGAGTTATCGCCTTTTTTCTTCTTTAAACACCAATTCCTAAAAACAACTTCCTTAAACTCACAAAATTGACACTTCCCTCTAACTTCCCCTTCTATCTTATCTCTTTTTCAAACCCGGGTATTCACTCAGGTAACAGGATTGCTCCGAAGCAAACAGGGTAGGTAAATACGCAGTGTGTACGGCCATACAGAATGCACGGTGATATTTGCTCTCAAGCGCTTCTGTAAACTTTTATAAAACTGTTTGAAACCCGTCCGAGTACATATATCACAGAATCTACAACTTCCGGAGCTTCCTCGAAGCTATCTAAGTTACAACCCCTTCCCTCTTATCCCCCCCCCCTCTCCCTTATTCTTTTCTCTTCCTAAATAAAATGATAATATCAATAAAAATTATTAAAATTAACTCACCTGGGTGAAGAAATAATAGTAGACCTTCATTCCGCGCTCGGCGAACAATTGAGCGAACAATGTGGACGGACATATAAAAAAATAATCGCCAACAATATCAGCTATTGCTTTCTGATATCTGTAACCATCTTTAGGCCGCTCCCAGTCGGTGTACTGCAACAAATAAAGTTAAAATTATTTATTTTAAGATTTAAGTGGCTATATCTCCTAAAATATTGAAGATAGGAATGAAGTACTAAGACGTTTTTTGTAGGAAATTTTATAAGCTACAATTTTGGTCTCCCATAATTTTTTCCTAAACTCAATATTTTAGGAGTTATGATCAATTTTATATAGACTAAAATAAAAAATTTTTACTTTTTTAAATTTGATTTTTCCTAAATAATTAGGAGAATATTCAAGGGATTGGCTTGAAAATTTATAGGGGTGTCTAGTATAACACCCCCAACAAACCTTCATCGGCCTTTTCAAATCGGACCATCCATTGACGAGATATCGTGACGTCATTAGAGAATCAGGAAAAATTTTGAAAATTAAAATCGCTCCCATTTGAAAAATAATTAACCGATTGGGTTCAAACTTTGTAGAAGTCTTTATTTTTATGTCCCCTAAGACCCTTCGAAGTCAGTTTCAAAATCCGTTGAACCAAAAAATTACTCACTCTTCCCCCACTCCTTATTTTTGATTAATTGTCCAACGACTCAAAAACTACTGAACCGATTGGCTTTAAATTTCACAGGGAGGTTAGGGATAGTACTCTACACAAACCTTCGTCGGCGTTTTCAAATCGGTCAATCCATTGACGAGATATCGTGACGTCATTAGAGAATCAGGAAAAATTTTGAAAATTAAAATCGCTCCCAATTGAAAAATACTTAACCGATTGGGTTCAAACTTTGTAGAAGTCTTTATTTTTATGTCCCCTAAGACCCTTCGAAGTCAGTTTCAAAATCCGTTGACCCAAAAAATCATTCACTTTTCCCCCACTCATTATTTTTGTTTAATTGTCAAACAATACGGAAACTACTAACCCGATTGGTTTGAAAATTTACAAGGATACTTAGTACAAAAAGACAGAGGAAGCTCCGAGGCGGTTATCGAATTGAAAAGCTCATTAGAGATACCGTGGTTATAATGATCAATAGATACGTCGGGTTTTGTTTTAGCATTAAAACTTGGACAAAGTTCCAATTGGGACTAACGAAGGGTTCGAATAGATCAATTAGCGACGGAGCTTGTTGGAGCGCGACAATAGACAATCAAAGAGGCGTTCTTGGGCGAATTGTTGCATAAAATAATTGATAGGGAGAAGTTATAAAATAGTCAATGCTCAATAGTCAATTTAAAAATGATTATTATTTTCTGCACAAGCTGCACTTGATTACTGCCATCAGTTTTATGTGGGAGAACCGAATAGAAATGCACTCCAGGATAATGAAATAAGTTAGTGCTTCTATTTCCGTTTTCGCTTCTCGCGGGTCTTCGCTCCCCCGTTATAAACCCACCACCAACGCCCATTCAATCGATTCTAATTCATTTAAACTATTAAATTCACACTAACAACACTGCCAATCACTTTTTTGTTTTAAAATTTTTTTTATGTTTGCTCAATAGAGTTTTATTAATTACTTTATTTTTTAATTGGCTATAACTCCTTAAATATTGATTTTAGGAAAAATTTATAAGAGACAAAAATTGTAGCTTAGTAAATTTCCTGTAAAAAATCTCTTAGTATTTCATTCCTATCTTTAATATTTTAGGAGATATAGGCACTTAATAAAAAATAAAAAATCAATACCTTATTAAAAAGCGATAACTCCTAAAATATCGACGTAAGATATTAGAATACTAAAATTATAGTTTATAAATTACCGCTATAATAAATCCACAATATTTCCACTTAACCTATAATTATAAAAAGTTTCAGAAGCGGATGAATAAAATAAAATCACAGTTATTAACTACTCCGAATATCTTTGTATTAATTATAAAAGCATTCTACTAATTAAAACCTGTTTGCACTATTAATTAAACTCGCTTCCAATATCGTGACGTCATGTGTTTAACAAATATTTATGTTTGCTATGCATTGCCACCAGAGGCCAATGTAATTTGATTCGATGTTTACGATACCTGACCATCTACTCTCACGCAATTTGCACTTATAATTTTAATTTCAATTACACTTTCCATTTGCTCAAGAATTAATGATTTTTTTGACAAGTAGTGGGGGAAAAAAGTGAGTAATTTTTTGGGTCAACGGATTTTGAAACTGACTTCGAAGAGTCTTAGGGGACATAAAAATAAAGACTTCTACAAAGTTTGAACCCAATTGGTTAAGTATTTTTCAATTGGGAGCGATTTTAATTTTCAAAATTTTTCCTGATTCTCTAATGACGTCACGATATCTCGTCAATGGATTGACCGATTTGAAAACGCCGACGAAGGTTTGTGTAGAGTACTATCCCTAACCTCCCTGTGAAATTCAAAGCCAATCGGTTCAGTAGTTTTTGAGTCGTTGGACAATTAATCAAAAATAAGGAGTGGGGGAAAAGTGAGTGATTTTTTGGGTCAACGGATTTTGAAACTGACTTCGAAGGGTCTTAGGGGACATAAAAATAAAGACTTCTACAAAGTTTGAACCCAATCGGCTAAGTAGTTTTCAAGTGGGAGCGATTTTAATTTTCAAAATTTTTCCTGATTCTCTAATGACGTCACGATATCTCGTCAATGGATTGTCCGATTTGAAAACGCCGACGAAGGTTTGTCGGGGGTGTTCTACTAGACACCCCTACAAATTTTGAAGGCAATCGGCTTGGTAGTTTTTAAATGGTACAAAAATAAGTAGTGGGGTAAATCAGAACTCTTAAATGGGAGGAAAAACGCGGTCTAGTCTTTCATAAAATTTAAATCCGAGGTTAATTTCCATAATAGAGGCCTTAATAGTCAATTCCACGCATAATTTCACAGAGATTAACATTGACAAGAAAAAAACGACCCCAAAAAAACAGAGTGACTCAACTCAGAGTAAAAAATGTAAATACTAAAGAGCGAGAGTTATACAACGAGCATGAAAGAAGGGCTTTCTAATGCTGGATTTTAATTATGTAAGTAACCCACCTGTGGACATTGTCTTGGCTTTGTTCGGTGCTTCGGCAACAATTTAAATGACAAGCTTTGCCGGGAATGCTCAGTTCCTTCTTCCTTCTCCCCCTTCTCCTTTTTCCTTTGTAATTGTCCTGTGACATTCTCCCGGCATTCTAAAGTCCAGACACATTTTCCGGATTGCTAATTGTTCTTTACATCATTCAACATTCATTAACTTGGACAAACAGATTTTTTTTCCGCTTTCTGACTCTTGGAAGATTTTTCAAAAAATTCTTCATTTCCCCCCACTCCTTATTTTTTATTAATTTTCGTACCATTTAAAAACTACTAAGCCGATCGGCTTCAAAATCAATAGGAGTGTCTAGTATAACACCCCCAACAAACCCTCGTCGGCTTTTTCAAATCGGTCAATCCATTGACGAGATATCGTGACGTCATTAGAGAATCAAGAAAAATTTTTAAAATTAAAATCGCTCCCATTTGAAAAATACTTAGCCGATCGGGTTCAAACTTTGAAGAAGACTTTCTTTTTATGTCCCCCAAGACCCTTCGAAGTCAGTTTCAAAATCCGTTGACCCAAAAAAATCACTCACTTTTCCCCCACTCTTTATTTTTGATTAATTGTCCAACGACTCAAAAACTACTGAACCGATTGGCTTTAAATTTCACAGGGAAATTAGGGATAGTACTCTTCACAAACCTTCGTCAGCGTTTTTGAATCTGACGACCCGTCGATGAGATATCGTGACGTCATTAGAGAATCAGGAAAAATTTTGAAAATTAAAATCGCTCCCACTTGAAAACTACTTAGCCGATTGGGTTCAAACTTTGTAGAAGTCTTTATTTTTATGTCCCCCAAGACCCTTCGAAGTCAATTTCAAAATCCGTTGACCCAAAAAATCACTCACTCTTATTCTTTCCTAACCATTATATCCCCTAAAATATTGAAGATAAAAATGAAGTACTAAGAAACTTTTTGTTGGAAATTTTCTAAGCTACAATTTCAGCTTTATAATTTTCTCCTAAAATCAATAGTTTAGGAGTTACAGCCACTTTTATACAACCTTTGGTAATTAAACCCCAAAAAAATCACTACAAAAATTCCTCTAAAATAAAACAAAATAAAAACATTGTTAGCATTGTTTGTATTCCAGTTTTTCCGCTCTTCGCCTCTATTATTTTTATTCGGCTTTAATTTCTCCCAATCGGACATGAATTTTTTTTTTATTCCAAACAAAGGACATTGTTCGTGTACAAGCTTGTAGACAATTTTCCTTAGTACAAAAAAAAAAAATAAGAAATAATTCTTACCTGAAATGCAATAGCTTCCCTCTCGACCTCAGTCATATTTTTAAAAATAGTGTTTATGATGCTCAGGAATTTTTCTCGTTGCAAAAAGCTCGGCTGGTCCTTCTCAAAGTAATCGATAAAGTCGTACAAAATGAAGTACGTTCCTGGAACAAAAAAATAATTATAATTTAGTAAATAAAATTTTTCCTACCCCCTTAAAGGAAATGTTAAGAAATGCATGACAAAATATCGGGAAAAATGCGGATGCTCTTTCACCACCTGGAGGCACTTTATCTGCACTCTTTTCTGGCATTCACTCCGGAAAGATGCTTGTGACATATATTAGCTACAAGAAATGTCAACACGTGCATTTGTATTCACAATATTCTTCTCTAGCTGCCTGCTCTTTTTATTCTTTGTTCTCTCTGGAAAACATTTTTCCACGGTGTAGTTGAGTTACTTTTGGACGGGATACAAATAATGCACTTACACGAAATTTCAATAGGCAAGATAGATGAGAGGGAGCTTTTTTTGCTACATAAAGGGTCGATGTTTCTAGGGGTTGTAATGCTTCAGAATTCATTATTACGTAGCTGCTGAAATATTCAAGATAGATGTATATAATACTTGCATTTTTTGTAGGAAATTTTCTTAGCTATAATTTTAGTCTCTTATAAATTTTTCCTTAAATCAATAGTTTAGGAGTTAGAGTCATTTTTATAGTGCGTAAATAACTACGCACAATTTAAGCCTCTATATCTTCTAAAATATTGAAGATAGAGGTGAAGTACTAAAAGATTTTTTGTAGGAAATTTTATAAGCTACAAATTTGGTCTTATGGAACTTCTTCCTAAAATCGATATTTTAGGAGTTATAGCCTTTTTTATAGTGCGTAGGTAACTACGCACTCCTACGCACGATTTAGGTCTCTATATCTCCTAAAATATTGAAGATAGAGTTGAAGTACCAAAAGATTTTTTGTAGGAAATTTCCTAAGCTATAAATTTGGTCCTATAAAATTTTTTTCTAAAATCAATATTTTAGGAGTTATAGCTATTTTTATAGTGCGTAGATAACTACGCACTCCTACGCACTATTTAGGCCTCTAAATCTCCTGAAATATTGAAGATAGACCTAAAGTACAGAAACATTATCGATAAGAAATTTCTTAAGCTACAATTTTTGTCTCTTATAATTTTTTCCTAAAATCAATATTTTAGGAGTTATCGTCATTTTTAGAGTGCGTAGTTAACTACGCACTCCTACGCACGATTTAGGTCTCTATATCTCCTAAAATATTGAAGATAGAGTTGAAGTACCAAAAGATTTTTTGTAGGAAATTTCCTAAGCTACAATTTTGTCTCTTATAATTTCCTCCTAAAATCAATATTTCAGGAGTTACAGCCATTTTTCTAATCCCTAATTCCACAATCTCAAAAATATCTCTTTTTTCTCATAATTTATAATTTTCATGATAATAATAATAATTATCATTATCAGTGGCGTTGAAAAAAAAATAAATAAGCGTAGAGCGAGGCCGGATCGATGACGCTTTCGCTGTAAATAATTCTATGATGGAGAAAAAATGTTGTCGCTGGAAATTACTCGACAACTTTAATGCCATCATTTGTAAATGTTGATAAAAAACGCGAGTACATTCCGTACACACATGCACACTTACCCTCCCTCCTTTTCTTCTACCCTCGCCCGTCACCACCCGTGTACTCGTGTATCAAAAGACTTTTTCTCTTCTTTTTTTTTATTGCATCTGCGGAACGGATCGGATAAAAAATGTTTCATTTCTCTTTTATTTTTTTTTACTTTTTATTTACCCTCGCGGAGCTGAAAACTTTTATTGTGAATATATGGAGGCTCTGCTTCAGCGCATTGTCTGTTTTGTCTGCTTAATGTCTGTTTTCATGCTTCTCGGTGTATTATACAGATTTTTTTATCGTTTTGTTCCTAGGTATGCTGATGCATCGCAATTTAGTGCTCATTAGAATTTATAACTACCTTTTTTTTAAATGAAAAACGAATAATTGAATATGAGTTTTGATGTAAATGTGAATTAACTCTTCATACCTCCTTAAATATTCGAGACAGATAAAAATGATATAAATTTTTTTTGTAGGAAATTAATTAAGCTACAACTTTAGGTTCTTATTATTTTTTCCTAAAATCAATATTTTAGGAATTATCGCCATTATTAAAATGCGTAGTTAACTACGCACTATTACGCACAGCAAAATATTAAATATCTCCTAAAATATTGAAGATAGAGGTGAAGTACTAAAACATTTTTTGTAGGAAATTTTATAAGCTACAAATTTGGTCCTACAAGATTTTTTCCTAAAATCAATATTTTAGGAGTTATAGCCTTTTCTATAGTGCGTAAGTAACCACTCCTACGCACGATTTACGTCTTCATATCTCCTAAAATATTGAAGATGGAGATGAAGTACTAAGACGTTTTTTGTAGGAAATTTTCTAAGCTACAATTTTGGTCCTGTAAAAATTTTTCCTAAAATCAATATTTTAGGAGTTATCGTCATTTTTAGAGTGCGTAGTTATCTACGCACTCCTACGCACGATTTACGTCTTCATATCTCCTAAAATATTGAAGATGGAGATGAAGTACTAAGACATTTTTTGTAGGAAATTTCCTAAGCTACAATTTCAGTCCTATGAAATTTTTTCCTAAAATCAATATTTTAGGAGCTATCACCATTTTTACTCCAATAATTGTAACAATTCATTAAAAAATTATAATCTCGTAAATATATTTACGAATTAAATTTGTTTTTCAAGCACAGTAAACCCAGTAAAGTTTCAGCTGATATCGGTGTATACTGGCAGGGGATGATATAGGTGTATACTGGCAGTAGAGTGAGGGTAAAACCGGGAGGCACGACCTTCTCACCTGCCTACATAGTACCCCCAGGCTCACCAGCCTCTATCGATTCGACACTAGCAACTTGTTGGCTACCTCTAACACTTCCGTTGTGTGCGCTGGACTTTCTTTCCCTTCAAATTATATATCATCCAGGTTTTTTTGTTTTTATTTTTTTTTTCACACAACTATTAATTATCTTTTATCTTTATGTTCTTATGTATCTCGTGTTTTAGTGATTTTTAATGGATTCTCTGAGAAAAATCACCCATTTTCACTCTTAAAAACCATTTATTTAAGGTCTGTACGTCTCTCGTTTTACGAGATAAATTTAATTGCAAACCTCATAAATAAGTGATTTTGGTTTTATTGCTCCTACATTATGTAATATTTATGTACAGTAAAAACTTATACCTGGATTGACGGTATAAATTGTTAAGCGCTAAGATACTATAAAATTGGCTATAACTCCTAAAATATTGATTTTAGGAGAAAATTATAAGAGACAAAAATTGTAGCTTAGAAAATTTTCTACAAAAAACCTCTTAGTACTTCAACTATATCTTCAATATTTTAGGAGATATGAAGCCCTAAATCGTGCGTAGGAGTGCGTAGTTATCTACGCACTATAAAAATAGCTATAACTCCTAAAATATTGATTTTAGGAAAAAATTTTATAGGACCAAATTCATAGCTTAGGAAATTTCCTACAAAAAACCTCGTAGTACTTCAACTCTATCTTCATTATTTTAGGAGATATGGAGCCCTAAATCATGCGTAGGAGTGCGTAGTTAACTACGCACTATAAAAAAGGTTATAACTCCTAAAATATTGATTTTAGGGAAAAATTTTATAGGACCAAATTTGTAGCTTATAAAATTTCCTACAGAAAATCTGTTAGCACTTCACTTCTATCTTCAATATTTTACAAGATATAAAGAGTTTTCTGCAAAATATGAAAATCATAATTCCCCGGAGCTTTCAGGAAGAAAATAAGCTTTATTGAAAGCTTGCAGGTCAAAGTGACTATAGCTTAACCACAGCGCTGATAGAACGAAATATCGAGCTATCAGAGGTCAAAAGCTTACTACCGAACTTCTTGTACCGAAGTTAGTAGAACGTAAAAATATATTTGGGCTTTTAGTGAGAGCTTGACTCACAAGTGGAGGAATAGGTAAAAGCTTGCTAGATAAAACATCAAATAGCCTAAAAGCTTGCAAGCTCCTTTTCTTTTTGTTCAGGTAGAACCGCACCAATTTACCTGACCCTTTGCTTCTCTAGAAATTTTGTACGTCTTACCCAAGCTTTTTTTATTCTTTTCACGTTCACAGTTTTCATAATTAACTCCCCAAGAGCTTTTTATCCAAGTGCGAACAATTAATTCTGTCAATTTTACGTGAGTAAATTTTACTTGGTAATTACAACTTGCAAGCTCGAGGTGAAATTTAAGAGCTAGATCAAAAGCTCGATATTTATTTCGTAGCTAAAGGTTTGTAGTTTCTAAAAAAATGCGAGCTTTCGCGATTGGTGAGCTTGCAAACTTAAAGCTTGCAAGAAGAAAATAAAAATTATTTTTTTTAGAGTTTTATGACGATTGTGAGATATTGTTGTTTTAGCTTGCAATCTCTGGGTTAAAAAATGACATTTTCTCGCAAGCTCAATGTCTATTTTATATATTGAGGTCAGTAGATTCCAAAAACTTAAGAGCTTTTAAGATTTAAAGGTATTCAGAGTGAAAGCTTGCAAGATAAAAATTGAAAATTAGAAAAAGATTTTTTTTATATCAAAAGTTTCATGACAGTAGTTGAAATTGCATCACTAGAAGTTGAGTTTCTTACAAACTCGTAGTATTTACTGTTAAGAAGAAAAGACATTGAAGATGTTAGAAAATAGTCGGAGACGTAGACGAAACTTACAACATACAACCGAGAACATAATCAACCCCAGTCTTGCCAGATAAGAGGATTGAGATAAATAGAAAGTTGGAGAAACAATTTTCTCCGTCACACGAATTAACTTTTTTTTCCCCCTTTTTACGATTTTACACTTTTTCCCAAAGCTCTCTTCAAGCTTTTTTTTTACAAACTCAATCTTAAGAAATGTTACATCAAATCCTCATAACGTTTTATAATTTTTTTTTAATTTATTTGTGACCATTTAATTGGATTAGCATTTATTGACTCTGAAATTTAAAAAAACATTATGCGCGACCTTTTAAAATTTTAATTTTGAATTGAAACTTTCAGGAACTTATTTTTTTTTGGTCTATAAAAT